ACTACGACTACTACGACTACTACGACTACTACGACTACTACGACTACTACTACTACTACTACTACTACTACTACTACTACTACTACTACTACTACTACTACTACTACTACTACTACTACTACTACACTACTACTACACTACTACTACTACTACTACTACTACTACTACTACTACTACTACTACTACTACTACTACTACTACTACTACTACTACTACTACTACTACTACTACTACTACTACTACTACTACTACTACTACTACTACTACTACTACTACTACTACTACTACTACTACTACTACTACTACTACTACTACTACTACTACTACTACTACCACTACTGATACGAAGCCAAACGACGGCGACGACGACGAGCGCCGGCGCTTAACGACAGTTTCGAACTAGTTTTCCCCCCCTGTCGCGGAATGGAAAAGTTGGGAAACGTTAATCCGACGGTAGGACCCCGCACGAAAACCTGTTTGGTTTACCCATTGCCTTTTCTCTCCCCCCCTGGCGGACATCCTCTCCTCTCGCCCTCTGCACTGCCTTCTCTTCCTCCTTCTATTTCTCTTCCTCCTTCTCCTCCTCCTCCTCTTCCTCTCGCGCCACCTCCTCCTCCTCCTCCTCCTCGCCCTCCCCCATGCCCCTTCCCCCCTCATCCTCGTGTCTCTTCTCCATGTGCACCTCCCGTTTCCCCTTGGTCGCGGCAAACAACTCGATTTTCCTCGGCGCCGTCGCCGCGTCGGCCAGCGCGCGCGCGTTTGCCGACGGCTAGATCGCGAAGCCGTCGGGGCAACCCTTCGGGCCAGGCCGATGGGACAACCTCGCAGGCCGCAGGGGCGCGGGAGCCAGCCGTTGGGACAACCCCGCGGGCCTCCAGGCGCGCGCCGCGGCGCTCAGGCGGGCGGCAGCACGAAGCCCAGCTCTGCTGCGAGCTACTCCGCCTCAGCCCTGGAGTCCACCGCTCTCTTGTCGAACTCCTGGAGCGCCTTCCGCAGCGACGCCGGCGGCCCGCGCTCCAGGAACTCTCGCGCGGGCGGCCGCAGGATCAGCATGTTCCGCACGCACGTGGCGCGGGAGAACATGACGTAGAGGCGCAGCCACCACATCTCGTCCGACATGCCCGCGCGGCCAGCGTCCTCACCCTTGGCGCAGTCGACGGTGACGCCCTTGCGCAGCGTCTGGCCCTGCGACAGCGTGGAGGTCAGGTAGGACGCATGCGCCAGGGTGAACCCCGAGCGGCGCACACTGTGCGCCCCCGAGCCTTGCCACGTGAACTCCTGCTCGCTGGGCCTGAACATGAGCAAGCTCCTCGCCCGCGCTTCGGCCTCGGCGTCGTCGGCAGCGCCGTCGGCGCCCTGCTGCAGCACCTCGGCGACCTCCTGGTAGATCGGGAACTCCTGGAAGCCGTGCACCTGCAGCGGTAGATACCGGGGGCGGAAGAGCTGGCCCGGCGCGCACTCCTCGTAGTCCCGCTCGTCGTCTGCGTAAAACTCGAAAGACACGATGGTGGCCCGTTGCTCCTGCACGAGCCCTGCGCCCGGCCGCCGCTTCGGCCGAGGATGGGTTACCACCCCCGGCCCGGACGCAAGGGTTTCCCCCTGCGCCCGGCCGCCGTCGTCCTCCTCAAATCCTGTTCCTCGCCCTCCTCCTCCTCCTCCTCTTACCCCTCCTGCGCCTCAGCTCCAGCTCGCATGCTTCGAGCTGGCTCAGCGCGGGGACTCCCGCGGGGACAGACCGGCGGGTTCCCGCGTGTGATTTCCTCGCGAATCACTCACAGACGAGGCTCCCGCCAGATACATCCTCCTTATTCAAGCCCTCCGGAAGCCAAAAGTGACGACAGTTACACGTTTCGAGTGACCCGCCTCGGATTAAAAACATGAAGTGCGGGCCCCATAGGGAGAGGCTTCCCGCTTGAGACTTCGTTGCAATTCACTCACAAACGAGGCTCCCGCTTGATATTTCCTCCAGATTCACGCCGCAGGGGACCAAAAGTGACGACAGTTACACGTTTCGAATGACCCGCCTCGGATTAAAAACATGAGGTGCGGGCCCCATAGGGACAGGCTTCCCGCCTGAGACTTCGTCGCAATTCACTCACAGACGAGGCTCCCGCTTGATACTTCCTCCAGATTCACGCCACAGGGGCCCAAAAAAGACGACAGTTACACGTTTCGAATGACCCGCCTCGGATTAGAAACATGAGGTGCGGGCCCCATAGGGAGGGGTTCCCGCCTGAGACGTCCTCACAATTCACTCACAGACGAGGCTCCCGCCTGATACTACCTCCAGATTATCGCCACACGGGCCCACAAGTGACGACAGTTACACGTTTCGAATGACCCGCCTCGGATTAGAAACATGAGGTGCGGGCCCCATAGGGAGGGGTTCCCGCCTGAGATTTCCTCACAATTCACTCACAGACGAGGTTCCCGCCTGATACTACCTCCAGATTCTCGCCACAGGGGCCCAAAAGTGACGACAGTTACACGTTTCGAATGACCCGCCTCGGATTAGAAACATGAGGTGCGGGCCCCATAGGGAGGGGTTCCCGCCTGAGACTTCCTCACAATTCACTCACAGACGAGGCTCCCGCCTGATACTACCTCCAAATTCAAGCCAGGGAGTGAGTGACGACGAAATGATGAGTGAGTGAATGATGATGATGATGATGAGTGTGTGATGAATGAGTGATGATGGTGCTGATGATGATCATGATGGCCACTGAGTGGGTGGTCGAGAGATTATGATGGAGATGGTGACGATGATGTTGAGAGTGGCGGCGGTCCTACCGTCGGAGGACCACTGCCTCCGAAGCCTACTGAGGATGAGTGAGTGGTTGAGTGAGTGAGTGGGTGATCGAGTGGTGATGATGGTGACGATGATGATGAGGATTATGATGATGAGTAATGATGAAGGATTATGATGATGAGTAGTGGTGACGGTGATGGTGGTTGATGGTGATGATGATGGTAATGATGATGAGTGTGTGCGTGTGATGACGATGATGGCGGTTGATGGTGATGATGATGGTGATGATGGTGAGTGTGTGTGTGAGAGAGAGGAAAGGGGGGGTGAGATCCTGCGCTGCGTGTGCAGAAAAAACAAGAACCCCACTTTGGATGTGGGGAAAAAGGGGGTTCGAACCCACCCACCCTTCCCCCGGAATCCTCAAGAGAGGATATTATATTAGATACCAAATGTGATTGACACTTCGATATATCCATTTGTATATAGGAAACCGAAAATGTTGGAAACTCAACATTGGAAACCTTGAAAACCAAATATATTTAGGAACTCCTATATATTGGAAACCACGTGTATTGGGTTTCCAATAGAATTGGCGTCCCACTCAATGTGTTTCCAACGTATTCCACTCGGGCGGTCGTAACATTCATTGATATACATACACACACCAATACATATACATA